AGCAAGCACTGAAGATTTCACAGATTTACTTACCATGTAAATAGTCTTTTAAGCTGCAGAGACAGTAAAATTATTTTCAAATTATCAAGAATATTTGTCCACAATGTTACCTTGTTATCAGGTGATTTTTGTTTTATTTTATTAAATGTGTGAAATAGGGCATCATATTGACAGCAGTTTGTTTCTTCTTGTGGTGGTTTAGCAGTAAGTTACATTAAGCTATACACTAGGGATGTGCATAAATAATGACTCAGTCAAAGCTCAACATTAAATACTGACAAGAAAAGAAAGTTTTTGAAGCCAATTTTACACCGTAGAGAAGCTGCACTAATGTTTGACACCGTCTATGCCCATACATTACACACAGTTTCCCTAGAGAGCAAGCCCTCACCAAGGCTGCGATGCAACCCTGGCATAGCGGCCACACCACCTGACTACAACGTCAGCATTCATTATGTGACACGCACTGGCCCAAAGAGCAGTTTTCACATAGAGAATCATTGGAAAAGCAGTGGCTGTTAAAGAGTGAATAAATTCTATCAAGCATCACAAATGACTCATCAGAATCTGATTCAGTGGGGACACCCCGATAACCAAATGGTTACAGTGCAGCATATACGCAAGCAGAGTGTGCACAGTGTTGGTGGTTTGAGTCCAGCCGCCAACCTATGTCACAGGTCCTCTCCTCTGTCTGTCTTCTGTTTGCCTCTCCACAACCCACTTACTCCATAAAAATAATAATAATAAAGGCATAATGCCCCAAAACTAACAAAAAATTGATTCACTGGGTCCGATACCATTTGGAAAGTAGTTTCGCTGCAGGATATTTTTCTTAACCCATTCAGGGGTGCATGGAGTCAACTGGAAGCCACCCAATTTGTTTGGCGGGAGCTGCAACTCAAGTGTGCCAAAGATGTGTAGGCACACGGAACATATCCAGGTCATTTTTATTGCTGGAATCTGGAAGCCCGATGATTGTTTTTTGGAGTATGTGCTAGGATGGGCGCTGTGGAGCAACACTGTATCCAGTTCACCATTAATGCATCCATGGTTCAAAGCAGCTGGGAGATGTTTCAGATTCAGTAAAAAATGAAGCGAAGTGTGGCGTCGTTTTACCCAAATGAACAACCAAGTTGAGTGCTCACTATGCGGGATGAAGTCATTCACAACATCGCCACAGAAATGTTGAGCTTCAGCAGCAAAAACCCAAAACGCAGGTGACATGAAAAATGACTGGATTTGTTGCAGCTAAACGCACTGATTGGTCGTATAGTTTGTTTTTTGGGCAGGGTGGAGGTGATGACGTCACGACTAATCAAGTAAATTGACAAATTGGCTCAGTTATTCAACCACAAAAATAATTCTAATGCCCAACCACACTATACACAGTCTTAGTGGTATTATTGGACACCATTGTACATAACAGTGCAGGGAAATAGAAACAGCAGGAGAAAAGTCTGTAAAATCCATAAAAACATGGTAGAAATGAAAGAAATCCAGACTTTGGACCCGAACTGGAGGACAGCCCACCACACCGAGTCCCATGTGCAGAGGTCATGCAGTGAATAAACATTTGTAAGAACGACGACATCACTCTATACAGTTTTAGTGGTAACTAAGGCGGTGCCGCCCAGCTCTGTGGCAGGAAGTGGGATCCTGTGTTCAGTCACTGTGCTGCATGCAGACAATGCTCCGCCCACCTCTGTCCCAGAAGGCTTTAGGGGGGCCCCGCAGAGAGGGAGGCCTTCTTCCCAGGTTAAGCCAGTTTGGGTCCCCAGGTACAGGTGAGGACAGGGTGATGGCACCAAGTGAAACATCTCTGTCCAGCCGTTTCTCTGTGGCTGTGGCAGCAGGACTGTGGCAGGAGACTCTGGCGCCGACTCTGCATCCCCTGCAAGACGGACAACACAAACGTGTGTCAGTAAATAAATCACAAAGTGCAATAGCATCTCACTTCACACTGTACTCCCTATAAACTACTGATATACAGACATACAGATGCTTCATTTGATTGATTTTTAGTCAAGAAAAACATGCAATGTGCAGCAGACAAAGGAGAAAAGAATTATTATGGTGCATGGATTTAATTCAGGATGTGACCATCAAATTTATTTATGATTTAAAAAGTTAGTAATCATTAATTTCAGTTGTTATTGTCCAATTAAATACTAATGAAATCTCATATTATTTCTTCGACCCTTGTGCCAACAAAACTACTGGTTTTCAGCCTTAATTAGCACAAGGATCATTCAAGGTGCTGATGTGTATAAAGGCATATGATCACGTGACAGTGAGGGCAGTTAGATTCAGGAGTTTTAATCAGCAGGTTTCATAAAGTGAATACAGGCCACAGTCTCACATAAGGTTGTCATATGACCACAATGGGGAGACCTGTGTCTGTAGAATCAGTTTTCTATAGCTACATGTTCCTTGTTAAGAACGTCAAGGGTTTTATTTAAAAGATATTATTTTAAGAACTAACCTGTAATAGACTAACAATCCGGCTCTTGACAAATTCCTGGTCCCAAAGTAGTTTTGTACTTGTAGTTTGTATTGCGGCTGAATGCTAATTTCTCAGATTGGTCATTTTATTTTGTAAACAATCACGGGATACCTGTACGTGCTGTTATGGCTGTACTGACACTAGTTTTACTGTATAAAACTAAGTGGTTGCAATTCCAAACCGTGGCCACAGAAGGGCGGTAACAGTCATTCTACTTCGCTGCCATCTTCACCTACCTAAAGGCAGACAGTGTCGTTGTGGATGCTTAGCGCCCTCCTGTGGTCACAGCGTGGCACTGCAACACATTACACTTAAAGCAGTGGTGGTGGAAACTTCTGCCGTTTTTAATTTTGGAACACTTTTTCACGCCGAATTAGCCATCAGGATATCGTAATTAAGAGGTCTTAAGTCATATCCATCCATCCATC